TGGGATTTATGATGGAACTCTTCGAAACCCAGGAGCCATCTCTCTCTCTCATGATTCTCAATTTGTGATTTACAAGTTTCTAGACCGCATTCTAAGATTTTTTATTGAAAGTCGGTGTGGTTCTCGGGTGTTGGGGTTGTACGGGTCTTACTTCTGAATGACTACTACATCAGCTAATACGTAACGTTTCTGATACCATTTCGGTGATTTTCATACCTTTGATTTAGGTGGACTGGTAGGTCTCCGTATGTTATCAGTTGACAGATGAACTGCTACCTTTCACAATTATTCCTAAAAATACCAACATCATATCGATGTTGTACCAGTGACAGTAAGCGATGATAGATCTAGGCTGCTTCAGAATGACAACATCGAACCTAGTAAACATGCCACTAGTAAAAACCGAGCATTTTTGTAGATATCAAATTCATTGTATTGAAGAGAGCAAAAAAGTATAAGACAAAAACGAAGTATGAAAGGCTCCAGAGTCCATCGTTCAAAACGTTGTCAACGTGAATTCTACAAATACCTACGAAAAGCGTGACAAATTTCAACGGTATGACAATTCACATCTATTTGGCTCAAGCCGAGAAATGATCGTCAGTGCAGTACGCCACGATAATAAAACGAGAAGTATCAGAAAAACATCTACAGATACCTAGTTTTTCATATGGATTCGGTAGCTTTAAACATGGTCAATCGTCGGTGATTACTATAGAAAACGTTATCGTTCGATGGTAATCACTTAACTACAGTCACCCAAATAATCGTGGTTTTTGATTTTGAATATTGGTATTTTTCGTAGCTCAGGTTGACGGTTTGTATCGGTTGGTGGTCGCTGAGCTTGGTTTTTAGGTTGCAAACGTTTGCGACCTCAACGTCAAAGTCACCGATCATCAATCGATACAAATCGCGTTTTATCTCATGAAACACGGCAATATCTCGTGCACGACCCTTTTGATTGGTTTGATTAACACAGTTGAAAAATGATCCACAGTGAATTCCCTCATCACTATGCACAAACTGATCAATTTCATGCCATCTACAGGCTCTCTAAAATAATCTGAGATAGTGGTTTCTGTTTTCATCAAACTTCACTTTACTTTCTTGAAATAATTCGGTGGAAGTCCTAGTCGCTAGTTCACTCCAGTTCATTGAACCATGAGCCTTGCACTTCTGTGTTAGCTGCTAGTATCGGCAGTATTATCACAGGTAAACGTCCTGGTCGAGTTCTCACACTCCGTAGAATGACGGATATCCGAAGACCCATTAGCGGAGCTAAGATCATCACTGCTCTTCTTCGTTTGGCATCTAGCCAGAAGGGCGCTGGCGTTGCTATCAACAACCGAGGAGTTGCGCTACTTGAGTGGATCTCAGTTGATACTTTTTGATATGCAGTAATGATGTTTTTTACAGGACGAAGAGCCCCCGCTGTTACGAAAAGTAAAATCTATTCATCTTCACTGTGTATGCATCCACGGACTATAACCAAGAAGCAGTCAAAATTTGTTTTCATAGAGTAAGGAGAACAATGTTGGCGAAATCATTTCTACTTATAACTATGTCAGCTTTGTCTGAAGCAAATCGGCAGACATCGTTGTTTAAGCACGGGGTAGGGTAAGCTAACTGTCATCAAATGAAATGTATCGAAGCGACTTTTTCACCTGGATTCCTGTCATTCCGATAGTCAAGAAAAACTCAGTTCAGTGGTATGGCTGTCACATGCTCATCGTAAGTACGGACTTTGGACGCTCCAGTCGCCGGTGCGCTAACTAATGCTGATTATCTTCAACTCCGCCATGGCCGGAGGTCGGCCACATTACCATAAGTAACAAGACTACCGGACGTAATTTTCCCTTCGTCATGGATCCAACCCTGTTTTGGTATGAGCTGTTTTTCTGTGGTCTTAGAAACTCAACCCGAGACAGCGGTTTAGCTGGCTCTCACCCCAGCCTTCTAATCAGCTAGACCATCAGCGCGCGTTCCGCGGTTTGTTTGGAAAGAACCACCTACGTAGGCGGAGATCAAGGTGATCAGGATGCCGCAAGATACCAGGCTCCAATGAACTTCTTCCAAACCTGTTTAATGATAATGTATTACCACTTGCTGGGGAATTTAATTTTCTGTTCTTTAAGTTGTGAAATATCCATCAAATCCCCTCATTATGAGTTGATCAGTGGCTGTCACCCTAAAGAAAGGTTTACCCAATGACTGCGCCCGGTAAGTTTTATCCCATAGCGCCTAAGCTGTTCGTTTGCATCATAGTACATACACTGTGACACGCGTTGAGGGATATGGCTGAGAATAGAGGTCAGTGGCGCGAATGTTGTGTGATCTCGCTCCTCGTAATTACAAAAATGTCATTTCGACAAACGAAATAACAAAAATATCAAAAGTGTACGGTGAAAAAAAGGAAAAAATCACAGTATTTTATTTGTTCACTAATTGCCTCTCTTACTATGCTCTGCTCCCCTGTCCCATTTCTGTAATTTTCAATGCGGCGTTGGCAACATGCTTGATTTTAAACCGGTGTAAAATGACTGGGGAGTACACAGTTCCAACTTCGCACTAATGGTTTGTCTGTTTCCTATTCAGTTTCCGCTATAGAAGATTTGAACTGTGTATCAAATGATTTATCATGCAGTACCAACGGCCAACTTACGATTGGAAGCGTCGGAAGCACTATATGGCTGTTTTGTCTGTGTTAGGGATCGTTAGCAGTGCAAATCCATGAAAGCTCATTGATTGACGCACTTTTTTGCCATATTTGCGGACATGTGACATGAATTTTTTAAAAAAAAGAGATTAGTTAGTGTAGTACGACTAGTGATCTTCTGTCGGGGGTTGCACGTATTCGATATACAAAACACAGAACCACAAAAGACCTCCACGAGCCCAAAGCTGAATAAGTGTCTCAACGGGTTACCAGACTTATTAATTGAACACTAACATGGCTGCCCACAGAGTGACCACTACAGTAGTCATCCGTAGTAATGGTTTATCTTATTCACCAATTGTGTTTCAGTCACCTGATTCACAGATCACTCATTTCTTTTCGATCCACTGTTTTCTTCGTCTCCGTCATATGCAAACCTTGATTTCCAACACCGAGATGGTTAACGGCTGCTGGATGGTCGAGATGGTCTTTTCGAGACTTGGAAAAAAAGCAAACTTTAACCAGTGAAATTAGCCGAACAGGACGTACTGGGCTTCCGAGTCTGCGATATCCGCCCACTGACCGTGCTAGCAGATTCAATGAAATAATAGTACTCGACGAACACATACGTGTCAAACCAGTCACATCGGTAACCTGATTGATTGATCAGAACAACCCGACAAATCTGTATTGGTAGCTGTCAAAGATGCGCTGATTTGGGCGCAAACGTGTGACCATTGCTCGGCATTTTTGAGCTATTATCGGTCACCATAGATGCCTCAAAGCGATGAGTAATTGTGTAGCGCCAACTTTTGTGCCATCGTTTTCTATCATTAAGCAATGTAATATGTAGCAGATCATCCTCGACCGAATGATTCTCGCTGATATGTTTACGCTCTCTCCAACGGAAGAAGGTCGCCGACCAACCGATGAATTAAACCGCAGTTCTGTCGTAGGAACTCGTTTCTTATCTGATGTTGCCAACTTGCGACTAAGAATTCATGTGCTTATGAATGCTATTCAGATATTAGTGTTTGTCAGGACGCTATCAAGTTTTGCGGTCGACTACCCAGTACTTCCTTTACGAGATTGTGCGTACAATCTTCGAATTGTCTTTGTCCGCTTTTTTAATTGAACGTGCGTCATTCCGCCTTATCACAGATAGGATCGTTCCATTGGGATTGGCATTTGTGTTAAAGAAAAACGGCGGAAATTAGCACGTGCTTCTTACAGTGTCGTCGCATATAGTCACCCATGAAGAGGCTACGATGAACTTGGTCACACGCTTGTGAGTCACAGTCGGCATTAACCTCTCGTGATTTTTGCCCGATTTCGTGGACAACCCACATACGTGATCGCGCGCGTTAAACTTCAGCCAACATGTTGCACGGAGCCGCATCAGCTGGGCAACCCGGCGTGACAAGTTTACACAGACCAATTGTTTGTTTTGGATGGGCTTTGACGACTCCTTGGCAAGCTGGTCTCCGTCAATGGTGCCTAATAAAGCAGCAACTATGTGATGTGCACAAATATTTGAATTATTAGTTTGCACAAGCTGGTGTCAAAATCAAACAGCCAATGAATCAGTTCACTAAATTTCCCGTCGCCGTCGCCACGCTCCACCTTCCGCTCAGATTCAGCGTCTTTTGGAATACTGTGAACCATAGTTCCGCAGCTTAGTTCTGTACTCCATGAGTTATGAGTGTCATAAGACTTATTATAGATTTAGCATCTGCGATATTTCGCCGAAATACATCATATCGCGGGTAGATGAGTCAGAAATTGAGTTGGATTCTGTCCACGCTGTGTTCTTAGAACTTCAAATTTCTCTAAATGTTTAGCATTGACTGAGCCAACACAAAATCCTTGATGCGGATCTCTTTCTGTCTCCTCTAGTTGCTCAATCTTCAATTAGTCCAACCACAATTTTAACCCATATGAGTGTATTATTTTCCTCATCATAAACACCCACCGATTTTTGGTTGCCAACAAAACTCATGGTTATGTGTTTTTTGACTTGTTGGCTGCTTGGAAGTAATAAGGTTTGTTCGCTTTGGCCTCGTTGTCAGATAACCGTTGATAATCGTTGATGAGGCTAAGCAAAATGTCTTTGTAACGGTCCCAAAACTGAGATATACAGCAGGACGTGGTCTTTAAACTTATTCCGGTATGGCTTATTCAGTTCTTACGATTCATCCGAAATTCTCGTGCTCGTAGAAGCTTCGTTCACGTTAATGAGCGTTATTCTCCGTCATGACTGTCTTAGGTGTATTCCCTACTCTGATTTTCTTTCGTACATGCTGTCCACTGGCCCACCCGTGCATACCATCCGCTCACGTTTTAGAGATTCACGGACACGCAGGCATATTGCTTATCGGGAGGATAGGACCCTGACTGGAACCGCACGCTATGCCAGTCTGAATTCCCACAATGGTATTGAACAGTCTCGGAGAGACGACCTGGAATCTTTGGGTTACGTCTGTATGTATTTCATCCGTGGTAGTCTTCCTTGGCAAGGTCTCCGGGTAAGTTTCTGGGTTGTCCGAATGCATATGCATGTGTGTGTGTGTGTGTGTTCACTCATGGTACTGTTCCAGTAGTATAACACACACACCAATGTGATCAACCGTCAAGTATCTTTGTTCGTGGCGACTATGTCGTTAATTCGTGGCTGACTTTGTTTTGGAAGTTGTTCTGCTGTCATGCGCTGCTATCCTTGTATACAAAAACAACAAGTCATGGCGAGCTTCTCTCTGTCTGTTTTGACTTAGATTACGTGCACAGTCTTTCATTTTGAGTTTTGCTTTTATCAGCCGCTAGGCAACCTCACACTTCGGTACTCTGATTTTACATGGTAACTCTCAGCATAATCCAGTCGAAGATAACACAACGAGGACAGGTAAAAGAGGAAAAGTGGCACAGAAAAATACAAATGGAAAAAAACCTGGAGATGATTTTGTGCAGTTGTTTTTGTAACCGACCCCTTGTTCCCAGTGTTTCACGAGTTTGCAGGAAAAAAACCTACTGAATATTTTAGGTTTTTGTGTGAGGAGAGTTCTTAGTCACCGGAGCACAGTTTATCTCACATACTTTCAGACAACTAGCGTCAGTAACATATTCGATCAATCTATCCGGTTGTGGCCTCGTATTGAATTGAAGCAAGTATTCATTAAAAAAAGGTGTTCACCAACGATCCGAAGCCGTCCTAGGCACGATGGAACGCGATGTGTCAATATCAATGTGATGGTAACCCACACCCGTAGCGGTGAACAACGCATAGATAAATGGATAAAAATATCTGCCAATCGTACCGGGATGCAAAATCCAGTCAGTTTGATTAATCTATGGGGTGTGAACGCGAAACATGTGGGAAAAGGGAGGAAGAGATCGGTCGCATGATTGTTAAATTACCTCTTTAACCGTACACAGGTGAAGGGAGTAGGTTGTATTCACACCCCGTACTCCCAATATAAAACACAATATTTGTAATGTAATGTATGTAATAGTGCATCAGGCATTGTATCATCATTGTAATCCTTGGAAACGCCGCCCATCGGCTTCATCTAACTTGTGAGGAATGATGAGCTACAATGAATACCCACCGAGTTCTAATCGGGAACTATGCGAACCCCGGCGTGCAGGAATTGCAAGTTCATCATGTTATTGTTCGAGTCCAGTGACGGATAGATGCCGCGTCACGTAATGGTAACGTGAAACAAACCAGTGAAAGCCCGTACGTACAGTCTAAATACAGTGTGCGTTGCTCGTTATCCAGCACCGTCCTGACTAAAGTAGAGAATTTCTATTACTTAGTACTCAGATAACTGATGAATGTCGTCGCATATACAAAAGGTGCATCTTACGTTCACCAACTCCAGTCATCTGTAGCGCTGGCGTGACATTCGATTGTCCGTCAAAAGTCGAATGTACACAGTGGCGATTAGATTCGTCCTTTTACATGACTGAAAACATGGCCGTTAAGAGCAAAACATAGGCCACGGTTGTCGGTGTTTGAGCATCGGTGTCTTTGTGGCATTGGCCGAATATGATGGGAGCACCGTATCAGCAATGATGTTAGATGTAGGATGTTGGGAACCAGAGGTCGGTCACAGGAACAAATAATGAATCCAAGGAAGTTCCAGCTGGCAGCGACATGTGTTACGCGAGCCCCCCAATAGACTTCCTTGGTGTTTGCTGTTCTCCAATGCAAGTAGTTGCTGAAAGGCAGGTCGGGGTACGAAAACCTTGACCGGTGGACTCGACCAAGTGGGACGTGTTAGACCAATGGGTTAGGATCCACGAGACCCTCCTATCAGCGGGTGGTTGAAGACATTAAATAATATGGCTAGGTGTCACGGCTGGCGATGTAGTTGGATTCAGGCTTTCTTCATCTCCGTAATTTCCGCGTAATAATTTCTCCACCATTTTTCTCGTTCTTTTATTTATTCTGCTTTCAGCTGGTGCTGAGGGGCAACAACCAAAACCGCTGCACTGAAGTGCGATCTTGATGTTTGAAAGAGCGCATATACTTCTACGCGACTAATTCCTGCGAGGGAATGAGCCGACTTCGTGGATGTCCCGAATAACACCTGTCCCTGAACAGTGTATGTAGAGGAGTTCAGTTTTCGGTTTATTCAACCATGAACCTCGCACTTCTGTGCTCTGGTTTCGGTTGCTACCTTACGGCATCGTCCAGTAAAGGGTGAAAAGAATAGAAGCATAGTGATAAACATTCAAAAAGCCGAAGTACCGAGGGGAAATCAAGACGACAATCAAGGAGTCCGAATGCAACCACGTCACTGACCGTGACACCTAGCCATATCACTTATTGTCTCCAACCATTTAGTAGGAGGATCACGTGGACCCCAACCTGGAAGTTTAACACGTCGTACTCGGGTGGAAGATCGCTCTAAGCACGAACTTGGCTTCGCGAGAACTGTTCGCGGTAGAGAATAAGATCGATGAGCAGTTTAGACGCGATCCTTACCAAGCTAATTCCTCTGTGGTTTTTACAAGAGGACCTGTCACCTTTCTTGTAAATCGGCACAATCACCGATTCACACCATTCCCTAGGAATCCGCTCACAATCGCAAATAGTACGGAAGAAGAAACAACCTTTCCCCGTTACAAATTTAAAAACAAAAGTCAAGAACATAGATTGCACGATGTATCCTGGATCATTTGGCTGCATCTTTACAAAGTGCATACTGCAGTCGAAGTGATTATTTATTTATTTTATTTTGCTCTAAAAATAATCACTCCGACTGCAGTATGCATTTTATAAAGACTCAGCGAAATGATCCAGGATACATACTACGGAAGAATTTTGTTAACTCCGAAATCAAAGCTTCGCCTCCATCCTTGAAAAAAAAAGATTGAGACAACCCATCTGGTCCAGCGGCTTTATACCTTTTTAAGTAGTCGATCTCCCGCATGACCTCCATCTTTGTTGGAGGAGTGATATTCACCTGCATTGTTTCGCTGGCAGGTATATTTAGAAGGTCCACCGTTGAAGTGGGCCAACTGAATTGTTCCCTAAGGTGCCTCACCCAACGGGCCAGACGATGTCCTTGAGAGCGAATCAGTGAGCCGTTGAATTTATAAATAACTCATTTACAACAGGCTTCAGTGGACCGGTATCTCTAATCAAACGGGAAAGGTTGCGAGCGTTGCCAATGGACGCAGCCTTTTCCATTTCCTTACATTTCGTAATGCACCACTGCTCACGGTCATTCCTTAGGCTCCTAGTCAGTTGGTGTCTCGGGGATTTACGCACTTCATTGAATGTGGCATCCGGCAGGGTGGATCTGCGAGCGTCCAACAGAGCAACTGATGTCGAAGATATTCATCATTTGTGGGACCGACTTGAATCAGAGACCTCTGTGGCATTCGAAGCGGCACACAAAGCTTCCTTGATCTGTTGCCAGCGTTCATTTGGGTCCTGAACATCTGGCTGCATCGATAACCGCGTAGCTAGCTCCATCTGGAAACTGTGTCGTTGGTTATCGTCTAAAAGCAACTGCGCGGGACGCGTGGCATTTACTTTGGTGCGACCACAAACGAGACGTAAACGGAAGCGAGCACGTACCAAGACGTGACCTGAGTCCACAGGCGTAGACTGAAATAAACAACATTCTTCAATGGATCCACGCCAGCGGTGACCAATCAGAATATGGTCAGTCTGAGTCCAAAGTTGTGAAGACGAAGGAGGACGCCATGTGACTCTATACTGCTTCTTATGGTAAAAGTTCGTACTTGCCAGAAACAATCTGTGGTCGGAGCACAACTGAATGAGACGATCGCCGTTATCGGTACGATCAGCTGGGATAGCAAATGGGTCTCCAATATGCCTTTCGGAATCTCCCAAACGGACAGTTTGGGCGTTGAAATCCCCAGCAGTGATCACAACGTCCTTTGAACGTGCGCTTCGAAGTAGCTGAGACAAATCCGGATACAATTCTTCCTTGGTTTCAGAGGAGCTGCAGTCAGTCAACGTATACACAGACACGACGAAAAAACATCGGCGCTTCAGGTTGTTGTTGTTGACACTCACAGAACTGTCCAACCGAACTGCACACAAACGACTGCTGACTAGAATCCAATCCAGCAGTTCACACACAGCTCTCATACTCAAAACAATCCTAACGCCAGCCTGACTACGAGCTCTAGAGACCAAATCACCTCACACACGAAGAGTGAAGTGTGAGACTGAGGTTATATCTGTGGTTCGAAGAGTTATCACAGAAGTGGGGTCTTGTATGCGTGTTTCGGAGACACAGCATACAACTATTTTGTAAGTGCTAAGAGTTCTAGCGAGAGCAGCCTGTTGCCCTATCTGACATAGTGTGCGGACGTTAAAAGCAACTGAGCGAAGTAAACACCTAGGCTTAAGAAGTGCATTTGATATATACCCAACTCCTGAGCTACTGCTTTGATCAAAGCCGCAATTACCCGTTGCGTTTTGCAGCGACCTTAAATTAAAGGAGGGAAAATTGGTGAGGCCCTTTACGGGAAAGATACTGGAGGTTTGTGAGCGAACCATACTTCGCTGCCGCCCACATCATCATCGTCATCATCATCGTACAGCGTTAAACAGTAGGGCAAACCCCACTGACCACTGCATTTCTCACCATGTTGCACGTTGAATTAGAAAGTATGAACATACAAGATGGACAGGGAGCGGGCCTACATGGGTGGGAAAAGGAAAGAATGCCCTAGTAGCCAACACACGGAATACACAGTCTAACTGTACAAACGCACATCGATCAGTCATTCTGATTCGACAGAAAGTGACAACACGATCGCCACTGTTCGCGGTTCGCTGCCATATCCTTCAGTATCTCCAGCCAACTGGTAGACGGATCTTTTGGACGCCCACACCGCGGGGTTTTTTCTTTGGGAACCCTAGCGGGTGCCTTCGACTCAAAAGTCTGACCCACAAGGCAATGGGGCGTGAACCCAGCACGGGAACGTGACCGAAGAACGTGTGAAGGAGTTTCTTCTAATCTGTTACGTGAGATCTGAT